TGTGTGTTTGGGGGAGAAGAGGAGACTTCTTGGTATTTCTTGATTTTGCTCTGCTCTAGGGCTTCCCTGGTGCCTGCTGAATGCAAAGAGGCCTCTCCTGGAGACATTCCCGATGCAGGCACCTGTCATCTGCCACCCCCGTTCTCCACGAGCTCCCTCTCTCCCCCTCCCCCAGCCCATTATTCTCCTTCAGCCTTTTGTGCCGATGGCAGAAGGCTGAAGGGATTGTCTTTGCCCTCCCGGCAGGCAGGCGGGTGTCGGGATGGGCCGCGCCGCGAGGAGCCGACGCTAGCCAGCGAGGTGTGAAGAGTTGGCCAGAATGACCAACTCCTCCTCCACGTCCGCTTCCTCCACCACCGGGGGGTCCCTGCTGCTGCTGTGCGAGGAAGAGGAGTCGTGGGCGGGCCGGCGCATCCCCGTGTCCCTCCTGTACTCGGGCCTGGCCATCGGGGGCACGCTGGCCAACGGCATGGTCATCTATCTCGTGTCGTCCTTCCGCAAGCTGCAGACCACGAGCAACGCCTTCATCGTGAACGGCTGCGCCGCGGACCTCAGCGTCTGCGCCCTCTGGATGCCGCAGGAGGCGGTGCTCGGGCTCCTGCCCGCCGGCTCCGCGGAGCCTCCCGGGGACTGGGACGGCGCCGCGGGCAGCTACCGCCTGCTGCGGGGCGGGCTGCTGGGCCTCGGGCTCACCGTGTCCCTGCTGTCCCACTGCCTCGTGGCCCTGAACCGCTACCTGCTCATCACCCGGGCGCCCGCCACCTACCAGGCGCTGTACCAGCGGCGCCACACGGCCGGCATGCTGGCGCTGTCCTGGGCGCTGGCGCTGGGCCTCGTGCTGCTGCTCCCGCCCTGGGCGCCGAGCCCCGGCGCCGCGCCCCCACGCGTGCACTACCCCGCGCTGCTGGCGGCCGCGGCGCTGCTGGCGCAGACGGCGCTGCTGCTGCACTGTTACCTGGGCATCGTGCGCCGCGTGCGCGTCAGCGTCAAGCGGGTCAGCGTCCTCAACTTCCACCTGCTGCACCAGCTGCCCGGCTGCGCCGCCGCCGCCGCCGCCTTCCCCAGCGCCCCGCACGCGCCCGGCCCGGGGGGAGCCGCGCTCCCCGCGCCCGCCCAGCCCCTGCCGCCCGCGCTCCATCCGCGGCGGGCGCAGCGGCGTCTCAGCGGCCTGTCGGTGCTGCTGCTCTGCTGCGTCTTCCTGCTGGCCACGCAGCCGCTGGTGTGGGTGAGCCTGGCCAGCGGCTTCTCGCTGCCCGTACCATGGGGCGTGCAGGCGGCCAGCTGGCTCCTGTGCTGCGCCCTGTCGGCGCTCAACCCGCTGCTCTACACGTGGAGGAACGAGGAGTTCCGCCGCTCCGTGCGCTCGGTCCTGCCCGGCGTCGGCGACGCGGCGGCTGCCGCTGTGGCCGCCACGGCCGTACCCGCCGTGTCCCAGGCGCAGCTGGGCACCCGCGCGGCCGGCCAGCACTGGTGACTCGGCCAGGGCCCAAGGGAAGCGGAGAGTCCTGCCTTCCAAGGCCCTTGGTCACCATCGCCTCCTGCCCTTGTAAAGTATCCCCTGCCGGGACGAAGACTCCTGCGCAAAGACCAGTCAACTGGTGCGAAGATGTGACCTTGGACCGCAGGGGAATGGATACCTGAATCAGGGTCTCTCCCTAAATAGGGTCTTTCCCTATATGGCGTCCCTGAGATCATTTTGGACGGGCACCTGATTTTTACCCTTTGTTTCCGTGTTTTAGAGAAACCCTGAAGTCAAAACACCGCAGACTTCAAAAACTTGCAAACTGACATTTTAAAAAGAACCAGTGAATTTATTTCAACACTTTTTGAAAAAGAACTTTGATGATGTGTTACCATTCCCACCTTCATCGTCTTATAACATATATGAAAGCGCCTTGAGTGTGCATGAGCCAAAGGAAATACTATTGATGAAGAAAATAATATTGAAGAAGTATTTTATAAAGTAACCTGTGTTTGAGGATGCTTCTGTTATAATTTATCCTGTGTACAGTTACCTAGAATGAAGCCACAGATGTGCACACTGGTAATGAGTTGCGAGAAGCCTCAGGCCCTTGATTCTTAAACGGGTGTTTATAAAGTAAAATCAATCCTGAATGAGATAGAATCTTAGCCAGTGAGAAAAAAAAATACACAACAGATTTATTTTATACTCCTTTTTGCACTTCTAGACTGTTAAACGGCATTGAGTGTTAAAAAGTGGAAATTTTCCATTGTGCTGATTGATGTTCTACGCCAACAATTGAATTTTGGAAGCAAGAGGGTTACCTCTTTTAGGTACCAGTTTCATGTGTTCTATAGCATGCACACTTGTTGCTACCCTCGCTTTGTAATCCATTTACTTGCCTTACGAGTGTGATCGCAGCTCTGTACTACAATGGTTGCTAAGGAGAATAAGTTCTGTTTTCTCTTTAGTATTTAAAATATCTCAATGCACATGATATAATTAAACACTAATAATACCATGACTGCATTGCTAATATTAGCTGCTGTTGCATGCTCCTAGATGCTAGAACTTACTGGGCATGTGGTCTACTAAAGCAATACCCATTAGACAAGGACATTTTACTTCTAGACACCGGAAGAAGTGGCCTTCCATTATTTGAAAAGAGAAGAGAGAACCTCTGGCTACCTAAAGGTCTTGTTGTCTTCATCCAATTTATGAGAAAATACCCAGTGGGGATTTTATCTTGCAAATGGAACCACAGTCAAGATGGACCAACAATATGGTTTGGCTCTACAAAGCCTTCTGTGCTTAAGGTTTTAGGGTTTAGATAATCCATGCATTAGAAAGCAGCACTGTTTTTTATGTAGTTCGAGTATATTACCATGACATTAACATTAATATTGTGTCTGTTACAGGAGGTATAATTAACTCAGTTATAGGTAACAAATATGGGAATTTGTTCTAAAATGTATGATTTGAGGCTTGTCATTTTCATCTTTGGTTTACTACATTTCTTTAGAAATATTTGAAATGCACAATTGTGTAAAACCACTTTATAAAATTAAAATGGGAAGAAATTTTAAATAAGTGTCTATCAGCAGTCTGACTGCTAACTACATCAAATCTGGGGCTGCACAGCCTCACTTAACTGTGTGATTGCTTTGTCGCCTTCGTGGTCATTGTAAGCCAGGAGAGTGGGACACTTGTGTATTTAAATACTTATTGGAGTTGCAAGAAACTGACATCTCTGCAGTAAAACAAGGCAAAACAGATATGTTCATCACCAATAATAGATCAGCATTCATTTTATTACTCTATCCCTTACTGCATGCACCATTTTTCTCTTTCTAAGGTTTTATCTGTTCCCATTTTCCTTGATTCAAATAATTAATTAAAGTTCAGACAACTGTTCTTCTGAGTTGTTTTCTTCTGTCTTGCTCTTGCTTACCTCCTTGAGAACACTATAACAGATGACGCTGTTCTAAAGCACTAGTGATGAGAGGACATTCTTTGTTCTGGCTTTATTTAATTTTATTTTTGGTTTCTAAAATTATTTCCACCTTATGTAATTTATTACGGTCCATATGCCATCATTAAAAAGAAAGTATAATTTCCTTTCTGTAAGCATAATTCACTGGGGAAATAGGCTATAACAACCACAGAGCTGAAGATTTTCCCTTTTGGGGGTCCAGGGGCACTTTTCTAAATCTCTGTCAAAAAGGTCTTCTTTTATAATTAGGCCTTTATCCTTGTTTCTTCTCACTGTGGATGCTGCAAACGATTTCTTCCAATGTTCCTGTAAATGTTTGCCACACATACAAACTCAGCTTTCCACGTACCTGTTATCTTGCAATGTTTCTGGCTGACACCGAGAACCATCTCATGCTGGCTCAGTGCCATGTGGAAGACCTACTTTAGGTTATATTTACTGGTAATTAACTCCACAGGACTGATTCCCTTTTAATTTCAAAGTAGCAGTGATGTGTCTGAAAATGCCTTTCTAGGGCACTAACTGGGAGTGTTGGAGTTACTGTTTTTACAAATTAAGTTAATGGAGATTGTGTTCTTATTTAAATGAAACCACATATTATCCACTCAGGAATAAAAAAAACTAATTGCTGTTGTGGGCTGCCCTACTTTGCCTTTTCTACATTTATTCGTTAGGTACATGCCTGTTAAGACATATAGCAACCGCCTTCACCCCTTGCACTTGAATAGCTAAATTCTAGGATGTGATAGGTACTACTTCTAGCACGCCCCTCCTTCCAAAATGAACTATGTGAATAAATACAAATTCTGTTTTGTACAGAGGCATCCATAGGTGGTTTTTGTTTTAAACACTATAGAGAGATTTCCAAGGTCAGACAGGCTTCCCTATGTCTCAGTATTGAGGAGAAAGTTTTCTACAATGGAAGTATTGTTGTTTTCAGGAGAACCCAGTGGGAGGAGGGAGTGGAGCTGAGGAAGGGGGAAGGGACTCAATCTTTAACTCTGGGATAGAGAAAATCATTGAAAAGATCTGCTCATCAAGGAAATCTTGGTTTGCTTTGAACTCATGGTTCAGCGTAACCCTACTCCTTTGATGATGACCGTATTGGCCAACTTAATTGTTTCAAGTATAATCTTTATTCTGTTCTCCCAGGGACTCAGTGCTCACCTGACTTTTTATCACTCCTATGTGCTAACTTGACAAAGGACATCAATGTCTTAGATTAAAATTCAAGAACATTGAGAAATACTGTAGATATCCCTTACTTGCAGACATTGTCAAATATTTATGGGTTTTTGGGGCAAGTGTGGAGCTCCAGATGGGAGGTCTTGGTCTGCAGGAACAAGGGGGGGAACCCTTTATTTCCACCCCTACTTTCCCTTTCAATACTTTGAGGGGCCTGACACATACGTGCGTGGATTCAGCCCCCAGGTCCAAGCTCCGCCCACACCCACCTCCACCAGCCACCTTGCCCACCTCTAGGACCTACTGGTACACATACAGGGGTCAGAGCATGCCTAGGAAGTGGCCTTGAGCCATCTGGGTAGGGAATTCCTAGGTTCCCGGTACCAGCACCTGTTGAGGAGGGTACAGGCTCTGGGTGGGCACATTTCCTTGGGACTCCTCACCCTGTGGGGAGGGGAGTGGCCAGAGGAGGGTGGGAGCAGTCCCTTCAAAGCATGAGACCCAGGTTGGGACTCCAGTTTCTCAAGTCTAAGGTCCATACTGCTTTATATAGGTCCTGTTCAGGTATCCTCCCCTAGCTCCTCACACCTGCAGGGACTTCTTAAACAGGTGCCAACCATAGAGAGTTTCCCCAGCTACTTAATCTCCTCAGGCCTAATGCAATAGGTAAGGAGGATGGTGAGGAGGGAATGGGAAGGGAGTAGATGAAACAAAGCAGGTCAGATGTGGAAGCAGTATGATGGGTACATGGGTCGCGTGGCACAGTTTTAGTTGTGTGTATCTTTGAATATTTTCGTAATGAAAAGTTTAAAAGCGTGAAGCCAAAACTCAGAGGAAAAAAAAAGAAGGAAGAAAGAGAAAAAAGAAAAGCAACTAACATGCTTAAGGTCATGCAGCAATTAAATGGAGAAGGTGGGATTCGACCTTTTGTCTAACTCCGAAGCGTGAGATGGTAACTACTGTGCTGTAGGATAAAAATCAGATTTTTTTAAGTGAGGCGTGGCATCCCCTCCGTGGTATAACCAATCCCTCATTTCACCAATCTCTCTCTCCCCTACCTGCATTCTTTGCTATAACTTCGTTGGTCTGTAAACGCTGTCTTCTAAACATAGCCCATGTTCAGGGTCTAAGTCTTCCCCAAGTGTCCTTGCATCTTATCCCTTTCCCAGCCCCCATCCTTCCCAGAAGGCTCACTTAGTTTCTACCTCCTCATTAGAGCCCCTTGCCTCAGCTGGGAAGTTCTGCTTTCACAAAACTCCTGCTCCAGTTTGTTCCTATCACAAAGTTCCTTGTTGTATTCTCTCTGTCCTAATGTGTGTGTCATCTTCAAAACTACGTAGAAAAGATTTTTGGTTTATTTTTCATTCTTTTTTTTTTTTTTAGGGCAAACTGTCTTTTATCTTTCAGTAGCCAGTGGCCTGAAATATGCTAGATAATTGACATACATGTATAGTTTAAGACAGTAATTTTAAAAGAAAAAAAGACTTGGTTCTTTCCCTTGCATGTTTATTTTTTTCTCAATGAAATTGTCCCAAGGGTGAATCCTATCTCCTAACTCATATCGTGCCAAAAGAGATCTCGAAATAAGAATGTATGGGATTATGAGCCATGCGCGTAAATTACAGGCTGTCATTGGGGGAGATTTGTACTCCTGCTATCCAAGCTCTGTTTACACCAACAGAAGAAATTTCAGTCCCAATTACTACTTTAAATTCAAGGTTAAGTTACTGAATATGTGCCATTATTTCTCTGGACCTTACATAGAAAAGCTGTGTGTTTTTTATTTTTAAAAGCTTCAACATGGCTAATCAATCAATGGTCATGTGATTTTGTTAGGATCCTGGGAGAAATAACTATGGGAATATCTTGACCTCTCCTGTCAGTCAGTCACCGGATGGTAGACCTGGAGATCGTCCAGCCCAGCTCTCTGCTATTTTTGTTAGAAAGTGCGTTAATTTTTCATTTTTCTTGGAATAAATTAGGCCCATTTCCCATTTTTCTATTCTTAGGGAGTAGAAAAGTATGTCGCACCCTTTATATGGTGATGCTGCTTTTAGCCCAATGAAAGTTCTAGGAAATGTCAGCATGGTTGAATTCCTCTCTTAGTACAAAAGTTTTATTTTTTAAAAAATAATAATATTTTGATTGTACACTACTATAGCCAGAAAGTATATACTAACATATATTTATATGTGTGTATGCACTTACCTATATTAAAAGAAAGTGTAAGCAGAAGACAGATGCTATAAAGAGGGACCTAGTGACATGTAGTATTTGCCGCCAGTGCTTTTAGAATATTTTCAACTACAAACAACAGACTACTTAATTAAAAATGGCTTAAACAGTGATGACGTCCAATGATCACACACACAAGAAGTCTGCAGGTAACTACAGAATGCGTTCAGCAGCATCATGTCATGCGGGCCCTGCTTCTTTGCATCCTTCTACTCCCGGAGCCTCAATGTGGTTGCTTCATGGGTCCAAGATGGCTGCCTAAGTGATAGATTGTCACATGACAGCACCCAAAACAGAGGAGAATGAAAAAAAGCCTCTCTTTGTTTTTCACTGTTTTTTATAAGAGAGGAAACTCTAAGAAGCTACCCAGAAGATTTCTCCTATCTCATTGGCCAGAGGTAGGTCACATGGCTGCTCCTACAGGAAGCTGTGCTGTGACTATCTGGCTTTAAAAATATATATATAATGAGAAATCTATCCAGAGCTTGTTAACATAGAGGATTTATGGTTTGGCATTTGTTTTGCTCTCTACCTACTTGGTGGATTTTATCTTCTTTTCAAAATTGACAGCTGGAATGCATGTTAAAATGAGTAGGTCCTTGTGCAATTTCCAGTGTCTAGAAGTCATTTACTATAAGTTTGTTGCACTAAAACAGAATCTTCTCTGACCCCAATTACTCAGCTTTCTGACAGTGAATGCATGGAACATGTGAAAAACTACAACTAACCAGGCCTCTTTCTGTTTCTGGCCCTTTCAAAGTTGTTTTCTGACTGACTGTAGAAAGAGAGCTGTGCTGGGGGTGGAGTGGGCAGAGGTGATCACAGCACTCGGGCTTCCTTACATCAGCACTCTTGCAGGGTGATTGTTTCCAGATTATGGTCAGAGCATATTTGGGTCTGGAGGTGACCAGTAAATAGCACCCCCTTTCACTGGGTTTTGAATGATGTGGTAAATGAGAAGATAAAGTGTACAAATGGTGGACCACAATATCTCCTCTATATTGAAAAAGGCTAGGTTATAGGATGTACCTTAATGTGAGTGCCAAAATGGGCTTGTGAGCTCTCTCCCTAACCCTCTGGTCCTTGGAATAAGCAGGTCGGGTCGCTCTCACTGCTCCAGGTGGAGAGGGAAGAAGAAAGGGACCACATTTCTTGGCTCAAGGCCTTGTCAACTTAGCTTCACTCTAATGAGAAACTTGGCTAGTGACTATTGCCTATCCACCAGGTAACTCACTTAACCTCCAAAGAGTAGACTAAAAGATGGAGCAAGAGGCCAAGAATGCCTGGCAAAAATCCCTCCTCATGGAGACCAGAAGAATGAAGAAAAGGCATTCTCCTCTAAAAGTACAGACCCTGTGAAACCGAGCCAGGGTGCAGTCAGGAGGGACAGGCAGGCTGAAGGTGTGGTCAGTCAGATGAGCCACGGACCTGCTTTTCTATCCAGTTTTATTAGTTAGAGGAAATGCCTCCCGGTTTCTGGCAATACATACATTGCTAGTTGTGTTAGGGAGAGTTAGGCAGGTATCATTTTAACTAGACCCTAAATGCGAACCTAAGCCGTAAACAAGTGTAATCAAGTATAGTATACAGAACCAGGAAAGAATAATTTTTACCATGTTCTGAACTATGACTGAAGAAGATGTTCAGTTTGGAGAAGGGAAGACTATATGGAAAAATAAAGTTGTTTTCAAATATCCGAAAGGCCATCAAGCAGATTAATAACGCCAGTGTTCATTTATTGATAACATACTATGTGTCTGACGGGGTGCTATGTACCTAATACGTGCTACCTAATCTAATTTTCACAACAATCCTATAAGGCAGGTATTATGACTCCATTTGAAAATGCTGATTCTGTGAGAGGTAGGCTTGCCTGAACTCACCCTCTTGACAATGGAAAGAGATGACCATTGAATTCAAGGCCTGCTCACTCCAAAGCCTGGACTTGTAAACACAAGACCCAGTTACAGGGGAGAAAGAAAACATGTGGGGGTACCGTTCTACAAGCAAAATTTGGCTCAGTGGGTGGGAGATAGATTTCAGCTTAATATGAGAAAGAGCTTTGTCTCAATTATAGATGCTCAAAATAGTATAGGCTGTCTCAGGAAATTTTGACTTTCCTAACACTTGAAGAATTCAAGTAGGGTGTGGAGAACTAACTCTGGAAAGGATGTCTGTGTTATGTGGGAAGCTTTATCAGATCAACTCTGAGATGCCTTTCAAATAGAATTTCTAGGATTATATAATACTCTTCTTCGGCTTGGAGATGACAAAATCTTCCTAGCCCTGCATATAACATTTCAATAATTAGTCAGAAGGAATCTTTGGCAAAACCCTTAACCACAGTAGCCAATGGAGAAGTGAGGCTTGGTGTCCAGAGATGTCCCTCCTTGGGCACAGGGACACCAATATGTCATATTCTTAGTGACTTTGCCCAGTTTCTGCTGTTGTCTCCTTTTCTTCCCATCTCATTCCCAAACATTTTAATCGAATATAGGCTGAAAAAAGTACATGGTACTTCAAATTTCTCAGGCTAAATATTAGCATCTTGTATACTCCATAATTCATGTAAGAACTTTTATAAACACATACTTTTGAAGATTTTGTTGGGAGTTGAAAAGATTTCAGAAAACACTATTTAGATGAGAAACAAGCTATCAATGGCTTTCTTATAAAAGCTGCCTTTGGTGAAAATTCCTGAATGAGTTTTTCTCCTGTGACAAACTCCCAAGCAGATCTTAACCAAAGTCTATTTGTATATTCAGAACAGGCACTGCACAGTGCCAATCTGGTTCCTCCCAAAGTTTTGACACAATGAGAAATGGATTGAAATACTAAGTTACCAATACAAAAGTTTACTATAGAGCTATTTTGGATTTGTTGGAGACCAATAATAGACACTAGCATATATAAACCTAAAATCTTTAGACGCTATACTTTCCAATTTACTTGAACAAAAAATTTGAAACTCCTTAATTCATAAACACTGAAATTTCTTATTATTAGGATATGGAAATGATGTCACATACCTTCTTGTTTTACTAGGAGTGAATATGGCTTTATTATCTCTATCATTGTTATTATTGTCATTGTTATCATCATCATCATCATTGTCATGAGCATCATAAAAAATTATCAACAGCTCAGGGCAGAAAATTGGGTTATGTATATGTTAGTGTTTGCTATATAGCAAACTACCCCAAAACAATGACTTAAAACAACAATCATTGATTAGCTCCTGTTTCTGTGGGTTAGCAATTTGGTTGGGGTCATCTGGATGCTTCTGCTGGTGTTAGCTGAGCCCACTTTTTTTTTTTTAAGATTTTTATTGGGAAATTGGGGGATGGGAACAGTGCTGGGGAATTGGGGGAAGGGGAACAGACAAGTTGCTGTC